ACGCGCGAAAAGAAATTATAATCGAGTGCGAGGGCGTTGGACCCTTTAAAGACATTAAATTGAAATTACAAATTAATTAATGATTAAATAAGAAAAGAAGTTATTTTTTTTGATGTTTTTGTATTTAATGGACATAAATAAAATTAATTGGAAATTGAAATTAAATAAAACCCTAGTTCTAAATTGTTTTTAATTATTAAAAAATGTTTAAGTTTTAACCTAATTTAACCTAATTAATTAATTACAAGTTTATTTACAAAGATAATTAATAATTAATAATGATAAGAAAATAAAAAAAAAGGTTATTTATTAAGAAAAAGAATAAGAAATGCTAAAAGACCTATTTTTCTATATTTTTTTTAGTTATTAAGAAAACATTAAAGTTAAACCTAAAATTAAATTAAGTTGACTTATTGGAATTTATTTACAAAACTATTTAAAGAATTAAAAATTAAATCAACATATTTTTATTTTTAATGATTTCTGATTTTTTGTGTTTTATGAAAATTAATTTTATGGAATTAAATAAAACAAATAACATGATTAAAATAAATAAAAGAAAAGAATAAAAAGAGAGAAAGAAAATGCAAACATGGGGGGTATCTGCCCAATTTGGAGGCTTATTGTGAGTAATCTGACCCAACAGATTGAGGCCTTTTTGACTTTTCAGTGATTGTGTATGGAGCGTTTGACTAGTGTGTTCCCTGGAATTCTCATCATGGCCTTCTGATTGATCATTAGAGACACATGGCAGGCTTGGGTATTAGGATGCATGGTGCTCCTTTGAGTGAATGCTGCGCTGGAATATGTTAGAGAAAAAAGTATGAAATATATAAGGGGACCTGGGAATCAAACCCAGGTCCCAGCACTCACCAAACGTACACCCAACCACTGAACCACTCAAACGCTTTTGTTATAATATTGGCAAACAAATAATATAAAAGAAACAAGCACTATTGGTATAGGTCAAACGAAAACGCGTCAGCTTTTGAATGTTCCAGCCACAGGATGACACCTATGCTTCTTCTTCGTTTTCCTGCAAAAACATGAATTAGATAGCGGGGGTTTTTAACCCCCACTAAGTGACATGACGAATAATAACGATTAGAAGAGGAAGCCACATAAATTGAGCGCGAATGGTTGGTTGAATTCGTCTGGCCTTGACGAATTCAACCATGGTCCTGGCATTGTCCAATTTTTCCTCAATCAGAAATCCCTAATTACAAGCTTCAGAAACCCTAGATGTTGTCCATGGTGGATTTTGATTCAGGCGCCTATAATTCAATTGGATGGTACCAATAGCTTCAGAGGGTCCTCATTAGTGCAAACCAAACAAGAAAACTGATTAATAATGCATAAATTATGTTATGTATTTCTGGAAAAGATGACAAACCGTATGGCCTATATTCTTCAATTCCTTGCGCGTTTGAGATGATTCTTGATGCTACTAGACTCCTGGAAGGTCTAGCAATATGTTAGGATAGGTTTCAGGCCTTGAACAATCCTGCAATTGTGTTTTCAGATTTCAATTTTTTTGATGAAAAATGCAATGTTGTTCTTTCAATTCTTGCGCAGTTTTTTTTGTTCTTTGCATTAGGGTTATGTTATGCTTATGTATGTGAATGATTTAGGTCAGAAAAATCAAGCCCAAAGCCTTGTATTCAATGATCTTCAATATTTGATTTTCAAGCATCTTTTTCAATCTTTTCTTACCATGGAACTTGCCTATTTTGGAAGATTTGGTCTCTTGAGCATGTGCACGAAATATTTAGGTCATAAAGAGTGAATATGCTGCATAAAAAGATTTGGAAAACATGTTTTAGTATTTTTCTTATATTTAATTTTAATTAAATGAATTAATAGGATTAAAAACTCAATTAATTAATTAAAAATAAGAAAATAACTCCCCTTTGGGTCAATGGGTCGTGCATAGCTTTTGGGTGATGATTCATGGAAGAAATTAAGGCCCATTAGCAATTTTGAGGCATTTGAAGCAAAGTTGACTTTTCAAAATTCCCAAAAATTTCCCAACTTCCACAAGGCATATCTTGCTCAATTTTTAAGCTTTGATCATGTTCTTGGACATTTTGGAAAGGTCTTGGAGTCCTATAACCAATGCCTTTGGTACCATTTCATTTTGATTTACCAATCTCAAGTTATGGTCTTTGACTTAAAATGCCTTTTTGTTGACTTTTGAAAATGACCTATAATGTTGAGATTGATAACTTTTTGTGAGAGCATTTCTTGGACTTGAAGTGTGAATATGAGTTGTAGGAAATGTCATTCTCTTCAAAATAAGCTTTGGATGGAATTTTTCTGATAAACCATGTGGAAGTTATGCCCTGGTCAATTTGCAATTGACTTTTTCAGCTGTCCAAATATAGAAACTTTTGCATCTTGAAACTTTTTGAGCCATGCTTTGAGAATCATGATCAAGAATTGATCAAATGATGTTTATGGCTTCAAAATAAGATGTTGACCAAAAAATTTGACTTTTTGACTGTCTAATGACCATTTTGCCCCTGCAGTTGACTGTGAAGCAATTAGGGTTTTTGACTGTGCAGTTTTATGCTGTGAGTCTTGAAACTTGGCATATGGATGCTTGACAATGTTTATAGGCATGTGGGACTTGTTTGGACCCTTGGAAACTTCAATTTCTTTGCCAGAACCAAAACCCTAATTTTTGACTGTTAGGAGGCAAACAGACTGTGCAACCCCTTGGGAGATTTTGAAGCATGACCTTAGCAAACCTTGAAGAATATGGGAGGGCAAATTTTGGGGTACAACAAGCCTCAAAAGAGATTTGAAGCTCATCCTTGCTCAACGTCGGAAGGTCCTTTTATTCTTCAATTGCAACCATAATATTTTCGAATCTTGACGTTAAAGAATGCAAGATCTTCGATACAACATTCTGCTCTGAAATAGTTTCTCCGTAATATTTCATTTGTTTCACCAAACGCGTAATACGCATTACGTAGTCGTTGGTTGACTCTTTCTCTTCCATTTTCACCAATTTAAACTGTCGCTTGTGAGTTTGTAACCTCACCACTTTTGCTTTATCAACCCCTTCATCAGCTTTCTTCAAGATCTCCCATTCTTGCTTTGCCGAATCGCAATCGCCAACTTTTTTGAAGTTGTCATTATCAACACAAGAATGAATCAAGAAGAGTGACGTGTAGTCTTTCTTCTTCTCTTTCTTGAATGCGGCCTTCTGAGCATATGTAGCTTCTTCCCCAACTGGTGTAACTCCATTGTTGATCACCTCAAGAACACCTTGATACCCAAATAAAACTTTCATTTATATGCACCATTTATCAAGTTCTTCGAATCAAGGGTTGGAAGATTGGTAGGGACTCGATCATTGGAAATGGTAGTTATTTTTACAGCGGATTAATGGATTAGAACCAAGACTCTTGATGTCAAATGTTAGAACATACACAAAACTAAGTTGGTGAATCAATAGGGAAAAGTGGTTAATTTGAGAAGATGAAATGAGAAAAATAAGAGAGAGAGAGAGAGAGAGAGAGAGAGAGAGAGAGAGGTTTGAGAAAAAATATATCAAATGACATTAACCAACACACATTACATCTGAGGTTATTTATAATGCATTACAACATAAGTGGGAAACTAAACAACTCAAAAAATAAACAACAAAAAAAGCCCAAACACAGATTTGTAATCAATTACGACAAACTGTGTAATCGATTACCTCTACTGATAACAGAAAAACAGGAACAAAATTTTCCTTCGTAATCGATTATGCATATTGACGTAATCGATTATGCCCACGAAACAACAATTTCTCCCTTCTAGAAGTGTTTATTTTTTAAGTTGTTTTCAAGAGAATACTCCCAAAAATTTATACAATACATTTGAATTACTTTGTACTACCAACATATATATATATATATATATATATATATATATATATATATATATATATATATATATATATATATATATATATATATATATATATATATATATATATATATATATATATATATATATATATATATATATATATATATATATATATATATATAATATGATATGTGAAGTTAATTTATTATTCGAAAATATTTATTTTTTAATATTATTTATTAAGTTAGTTTAATCTACTTATTTTTATTTTATTTTTTTTCAAATTTTAACTGATTACTCTCACTTTATAATATTAATTGCTAATATACAATATGCTATATATTATATCAATTATATATTTTATTAGAATTTTTATAATCTTAATAAAAAATAAATTTTATAATTTAAATATTTAAAAATTAATCTAAATTAAACTATATAAAATTAAATTAGATTAGATTAAATTTTTTTTAATCAATCATTAAAAGTTACACTGATTACAAATAAATTTATTTTTTAATAAATAATTTTTTACTTTAAAATCTATTCAAACTAACATATCCTTAATTATGATGTTGTTTTTAATTATATGGTGAACTAAATTTACTTTGTACGGGAACTAAAAGAATGATAAATAGTCGTAGATTTATAAATATTTAAAACAGTGTTGTTTGAAAGAATTTCATATTTTCAGTGATATGACATGTGTACAATTTTAGACCAATTTATTTAAAACAAATTGGATAAAGTTACTTAATATTTTTGGTTGGATAATAAAATTATCCCCTTTATTTATTATTTTGTTCATAAAGCTTTTAATTGTTTATTGCAGAAAAGAAGATATAGGAGATGAGATATTAAATGAATAGAGAGGTATTGTAGGAACAAAAATAATAAAATTTAAAATGGTGGAAAAATACTAATAAGGAAATCATATTTATTGAAATAGTAAATGATAGAAATGTGATACATATATCACATATCTTAGCATACACACTTACGACATCTGAATAAAGGAAATGTGATACACACATGACCACACACATCCAAGTTGTAGTAGAGTAAGAGTTATAGGTTTGTGACCCAATTAATATTGGGATTCTTATTTATTAAATATTTTAATACTAGTAGTGATATTATGAAGATTGATACGCTAGGATCCGAGGTGTCTTGTAAGCAGCACAACTAAGATTATCTCCGTAATCAACTCTAAGTATGTCACAATATCTCTTATAATATCCAACTCGGTTAAGCTCAATGTCAGTTGTGACCTTCATCCCACAGATTTTGTATCCTCTAATAACATAGGAATACACGTACGTTGTCATCCCGTATCCTGGAAATCTCAGTTCTTCAATATCAAAACTGGCTGGGATCCATATTCCGACCATAACATCGTGGCCGGGTGGCATATAATCACGGTCCAACTGCGGAGGAGGTGTCATCCAAAACCATATAGCGGTCTTGAAGGATATAACAGGGTCTGTGGCTACAAGGTCTGGGTTATTAAGCAAATCAACACCTATTGCTTTTCCACACTTTCCGTATAATTCATTCCCTTGTAAGTTAAATGGACCCCTACCAAAGTATTTTTTTCCAGGAGCACATGGGAATTCAGAGCTTGGTTCGCAGTAGACGAAGGGATTTCTTGATGTCACATTACAATATCCCCATTCAAATGGTCCTTGATACCATATTCTTGGTCTACCACTTGATTCGTGAGAACTTTGACCAAAGAAAGCAGCAATGTCTCTTTTTTTTATCAGCTTCACTCTTTCCTTCATTTCCGAACTCGGGGAATGTCCTGGCAGCTATCACAAATGCTTCATATGTGTAAAATCCTCTCGCCTCACATGCAATATTGTCGCGATTCCTAAGCATATCGTTGAAATCTCTTCTGGAGATGAGATACTCTTGTATAGGAGGAGGAGGAGGAGATGGAGGAGGTGGAGGAGGAGGAGATGGAGGTGGAGGAGATGGTGGTGGTGGAGGTGGAGGAGATGGAGGTGGTGGAGGAGGAGGAGCACGAAAAATTGGAGGTAGTATAGGAGGAGGAAGAGGAGGGCTGCTTCCGGTACATTGACTTTGGCAACCGTTTCCGCAGTAGTAGTCGGTTGATCCACAAAAACCCCAATAACTGCAACATAACTGATTACGGCACAATGCACCACCAGCTTGCCATCCGCATTGCGGCGGATCTAGATTTGCCAGGCACCATCTTGATGATCCTATAGCGACTAGTATCAGTACTACTACTGCAGAGAATGGATTCATTTTGAATATCACCATGATTGTTTGTGAATCTGCGTATGCTAACTTCCTCCTTTGTCTACTTATTTATATGGTGAGCCTTATACAATTGTGGGTAAACTACTCAATCTCACGTGGCACCAATTAAAATAACACGTGTGTATTCCATTAATTATATAAATTGAAAATTTAATTTATTAATATTTTATTATTTGCAAATTTGATGAAAATTCAACAGAATCAAACATATAAAAGTTATAAACAAAAATATAGACCAAAACAAACTCAAGAAATGATTCAATTGGAGAAAGAAAAAATGTCGGTAGAAAAATATAGGGCAAAACCAAACTCAAGTAATGATTCAATTGGAGAAAGAAAAAATGTTAGAGAAAAATATAGGGCAAAATCAAACTCAAGTAATGATTCAATTGGAGAAAGAAAAAATGTCATAGAAAAATATAGGGCAAAATCAAACTCAAGTAATGATTCAATTGGAGAAAGAAAAAATGCCATTAAATGTTTTGGTTGGAAACATAAAACATACTTATTGAGTAGACTAAATACACAAATAATGAAATGTATATACAAAATCTGTAAAAAAAATTATTTGTGATCTAATTAATGAAATACACATTGTTTATTTTAACTGGTGCCAACTCATAATATTACAAAGGTAACTAAGAAAAAACCTTTTAATAAATCTTTTGCTTACTAAAACAAAAGTTAACAATCATGCATTCATCTTGGTAGTATTGATAATACTACAATATAATTATAACAATAAGTATTTAATAATATTTCAATATAATTATACTATTGTTAATGATATTATTCATTTGGATCATGCGTTTTCTGTAATTAATTTTATTTATTTCATAAATATTATCGTTTCCTCTTATAACAAAACAATTTGTTTTATGTATATATGGGTCCCATAAACTATAGATTATTAAATAAAGAAAATGTATGCATTATGAATACTGAACAACTGCAGAATGAGTCGCTGCGTGTTTTAATTTCAACGCGTGGTCCTATTTGTTAGAAATATTTTATATTTTATAAATGTCTTTTTGACTAAATATGTTAGAGTTTTTTTTAGTATTTTTTTATATTTTAATATTGTGTATGTTATAATCATGATTTAATATATTTCTTTTGTCTTTCATCTCTCCTTTGGGCACTAATAATTAGTATCTAAAATTTCGGTTCAAAATCTACGGGAAAACACGAGTGAACGGTAAGGTGTTGTGTGATTGAGAATCACATTTTTTCTGATTATGTGGGATTTGGGAAACACTGTATGTTAGTGAATTTTGAGTGAACTGCACAAGGTTGAAGATGAACGAAAGTGGTGATATCAGTTCCAAGTTTCTAGTGTTTGATGGCAAAAATTGAAATCGTTGGAAGATCCAGATGCGTGTGTTGTTGGGTTCTCAAGTTGTGTTACATCTTATCACTGATGGCTATGCTTCATTAGCAGCAAACTCGACGGAGGCACAGAAAACAATGCAGAAGTAGATAAGGAAGAAAGATCAAAAAGTATTATTCTACATCCATCAGTGTGTGAATTCGAATGTGTCTGAGAAGATTGCTGACTCTGAAACAGCAAAGGCTGCGTGGGACACACCGATCACATGTTACGGTGGTGACGCATCAGTGAAGAAGGTGAAGCTTCAGTCCCTAAGAAAGCAATATGAGAATCTCAACATGAAGGACAAAGAGAAGGTTTCTGAGTACATCTCTAGAGTGATTTTGATCACTAATGAGATGAAAGCTTGTGGAGAAACCCTTTCTGAACAAGTAATCATAGAGAATGTATTGATATCTTTAACTTCTCATTTTGATTACATTGTGATAGCAATTGAACATTTCAAAGATCTGAACACCATGAGAGTTGAAGAGCTGCAAAGTAGTCTAGAGACACATGAGTTACGTATGACTGAGAGAACTTCTGAGAGGGAAGTAAAGCAGCAGGCTCTGAAAGCTACTTCTGGTAAGAAGTATCATAAGCAGACTTAATCAGAAGCTAGAAAGAAAACTAATGGTGGTGAGAGGTCATAAGCTTCAACCTCTGATAGACAAAAGAATGTCTAGAAGGAAAAGGAGAAGTCTGACAAGAAGAATGTTCAGTGTTACTGTTGCAAGAACTTTGGTCACTATGCAAAAGATTGTTGGTCAAACAAAAAAGAAGCAAATATAGCTAGAGGAGAGTCTGATGATGAACCTGTACTATTGTTGACTTCTGAATCTGATGATATGAATTCATCAGAACTGTGGTATATAGACACAGTATGTTCAAACTATCTTACTGGAAACAAGAAATGGTTGGTTGATTTTGACTCTGGAAAGAGTACAAAGATCAGATGTGTTAATGATAAATACCTCAATGCAGAAGGTATGGGAAATGGCATAATCATTCTAAACAATGGGAAAGCAGGAGTGATCCAGAAATTGTGGTATGTACCTGGCATGAAAAGCAATATGATGAGTGTGGGACAAATGATTGAGAAAGGTTTTTTAGTTACCATGAAGGACAATCTTCTGAAGCTGTATGAATGTAATCAGAAGCTGATTATGGAGTCAGAACATGGAAGGAATAGAACATTCAAGCTGAATGTTAGAACTGCATACTCTAAATGCCTTAGTGCAACAAGTGTTGTCAAGGAGAGTGAGTTGTGGCGCAGAAGATCTGGTCATCTAAATTTCAGGAGCTCAGGGCATCTGAAATCGAAGAAGCTGGTACATGGAATTCCTACAATCAAGAAGCCTAAGAAGTCATGCAAGGTGTGCATGGAAGGGAAGCAACCAAGATTTCCATTTGCATCAGAAGTAGCTCCAAGAGCAAAGTATGCCTTGAGAGTAATGCATTTTGATGTGTGTGGTCCATTTCCAGTAGCATTGATTGGAGGGAATAAATATTGTGTCATTTGTTGATGAGTTCACCATAATGACATGGGTATCTCTCATAAAGTTCAAACACGAGGTGTTTGCTGAATTCAAGAAGTTTAGACTAAAGGTTGAGAATCGGAGTGGCCAGACTCTGAAAAATCTTAGAACTGATGGTGGTGGTGAGTATAACTCCACAGAGTTCAGAAGGTTTTGTAAGGAGAATGGAATTGAGCATGAGGTTACTGCTCCCTATACTCCTCAACACAATGGTCTTGCTGAAAGAAAAAAGCATACTTTGCTTGATATGGTGAGAAGCATGCTGAAAGAGAAGAAGCTTCCTCATACTTTGTGGGCAGAAGTTATTGCCACTGCATGTTATATGCTCAACAAATGTCCAACAAAGAAGCTGAAGGAAATAGTTCTTATTCAGAAGTGGACTGGAGAAAAGAAAAGTGTTAGTCATCTGAAGGTGTTTGGTTCAGTATGTTACAAATATGTCCCAGAAGCCAGAAGACAGAAGTTGGATGATAGAAGTAAAGTAACATTACTGGTAGGGTACCACAGTACAAGTTCGTACAAACTTTATTGTCCGGAAACTAACAAATTTGAGTTCAGCAGAGACGTCATTGTAAAAGAATTAGAAGTCTGGAATCGGGAAAAGTCTCATTATGACTCTGATGAAAGAACTTCTGAAGAAAACTCAGAAAACACATGTTTATGAAGCTGGTAAAGATTTTGAATCTGAAGACGAATCTGATGGTGACTCTGACTCTGAAGTAGATTCAAAAGGTGAAGATGATTTTAACTCTGACTTCGATGGTGATTCAGACTCTGGGAATTTTCAAGACTCTGAAGACAGTCACGGTTCTGGAGAAAGTCTGATTTTGGAAGCAAAAGCTTCTGAAGGAGAAAGTTATGGTGTTCGAGGTTCTAAAGTTCAAGTTCATAGGCAACAAAGATTAGGAAGTATCCCAAGAATATTTTCCGAGTTTAATATGCTGCAAGACAATAAAGTAGACTCCGAAGGAGAAGTTATTCATTGTGCAATGTTAGTAGAATCTGAACCCGTGAGTATGGAAGAGGCTCTTAAGCAGCAAGTCTGGTTGCAGGCCATGAAAGAAGAACTTGATGTTATAGAGAAAAACAAGACTTGGAAGCTAACAGGACTTCCAAAAAGAAAGAAAGCCATCAGCGTCAGATGGGTTTTCAAGCAGAAGCTAAAGCCAGATAGATCAATTAGCAAACACAAAGCAATATTAGTAGCAAGAGGTTTTCTATAGAAGCCTGGTCTAGATTACTCTGAAGTGTTTGCACATGTAGCGAGACATGAAACAATCACACTAGTGATTGCAATAGCTACTAACAGGAATTTTCCTCTGATGCATTTAGGTGTAAAATCTATATTTCTAAATGGTCCATTACAAGAAGAGGTATATGTGTCACAACCTCCTAGATTTAAGAAAAAGAATCAGGAAAGGATGGTGTTCAGATTACACAAAGCCTTGTATGGATTGAAGCAAGTGCCCAGAGCCTGGAATCTGAAGATTGATTCACTTTTCAAGGAACAAAGGTTTCAGAAGTGTGATATGGAGTATGATGTTTATGTTCAGCACATTTTAGAAGGCAATATGATTATGGTATGTTTGTATGTTGATGACATATTGCTAACAGAAAGTTTTGAACAAGAGATAGTGAAGTTCAAGAAGGATATGATTAATGAGTTTCAGATGACAGATCTCTCAATAACAAGTTTCATTTGCTTTTTGTCAAATATATCATTCATTTCAAATTCTCGAGGTAACAACAAATGATCAACGATGTTTAAATGATTCACTTAGACCAAAATTTATGATGATTCATTAGAGGATTGGTAAGACCAAATCCTTCTAACAGTGAACCTCAAGGTTATTAGATCAAAGGTTTCAAATTAAACATACTTGGGCTTACAAACATAGGTTTGGGCCACGAATGATCATTTCTCGAATCGGGACAAAATTTAGTGTTATGTTAAGCAACCGTAAGTGGACTTATGTAGAAGTCGCACCTATTTTGAGGCCGGTCAATATCAATTTATGTATCATATGTTTGGAGAAAT